AAATAGGAACCCGTTCATCCTGCCCATTACTTCAAACAAAATAAGCGCATCCATAAAAAGTTGCTTAGAAACAGCCTGTTTAGATAAATCGGTAGCAGTGACGGAAATACCACGGAACACTCTAAGACGGTAGCCACTTCCTAACCGTTTGTATGACCATCCATGCGAAACTTGCAATTGCATAATTTGCCCTAGCGGAAGAGACGGTGACTACACGAGTACGGATGCAGTGTAGTTTATCTCTTGTGAAGCATATGGGATGAATTGTTGGCGAAACGGGTGACCACTCTGCGTCGGCATAAAAGATCACCTAGACGGAAAGCGTGAAGTTAAAGATAGCACTCTGCTAATGGCTCATTGGTCAAAGAGACATAACGGAGAAGATTTTGAAATAGAAGTCACAATCCTCGCACAGGAAGCTGAAACTTCAGCACGTAACAGTCTTAAAGCGTTTTGGATAAACTCTAATAAGGCAGAAATGAACCGCAATGAGGAGTGCCATATGATCACGTGCGATCTCGCGCTACACCACAGATCGATTTGTTGACCTGAGCCACGCACATTTCTCACCCATGTAAGATTCCCAGTGACTGGTCTCCACTAGCAACTGGAAGACTAAAAAACGACAAAACGGTGAGTGTTTAGAAGAAGTTGTTCACTGTGTGATTAATTATTTATGTATTAGAATGTACAACTTCTATCTCTTGCCAATCATTTCTTCATACTGGGGTATTATGTGAAGTAGGACCACAGTGATGCTTAGATATTTGCAAAATCTGGTCTCCACGTCAGATTCGAACCAGCGATTACCCTTTTCCGGGGCCCACGTATTATCCACTGGACCACTGAGACTCCCGTTCTGCCTTCAGCCATTATTTTACCCTATTTGTGTATTGTTTTGTCTGTCGAAGTGGTGATAGTGCTCGAATGAGAGAACTGCGTATCAATTTGACTCTCCATGGCTCCGAAGAAAGCGAAACCGCTGGAATGTTAATTACTGTGTATTGATAAATACTATAATTACAGCCTCGCATTTGCTCATAAAGATAAACACTGATTTATCTACGAACAGGTAATGAAGCTAAGAACGAACTATTAGTGTAGTGTTTCCTTGTGGTGTGCCGCGGATCACTATTTGTTGTTCACCACGACAACGTAAGATACTTTTTTGAATACCCCGTAGATGATGTATCAGAGTGCAGTGTTCGATACGATAAAAGAAAATGGATAAGCATTCGACGTCATTAAGTATCGCTGGAGGTGATTTAATACATATCTGCTCTTTACATTGGCTCGAGGTGGCCTACTGATGTATCCAGCCAGTGCTGCTATCCTCCCACACAAGTCTGGTACCAATTTGCCGGCCCCGGAGGGATGGGAGATGTTGAGCCATGGGTGCGAGGATCGATTTCACACGTGTGTCGCAGTGGCACTTCCAACTACTGCACCACACGCGTTCGATACAATATCTTGTTATATGTATCATATGAGACAAAAACTAGGTTTGTAGAAAATTGGGTGGCATTCTCATTGAAAATACATCATCTTCTTTTCTTTTGCAAAACGAATTCATTGCACCATTTCTAACACTTTTGAGAAGTGGCTAATAAACAATGAAAAGATAATGAACAATGAACAAGATACCAACGCGGATCACATCTGAATCAGTGAAGGAATCATTGAATGTGCAGATCTTCGTGATAACCTTTGAGAACAATAACTATTCTGCAGCTGTGCTGCTTTGATGAAACGTGATTTAACAATGATCAAAAACTGCTCTCGCTATAAGTATAACACTAGGAATATTTTTTTGGCAAGAACAGCTGCAACCAATTTGTTACAATGTAGCAAGTGGCAAGATTGATTTATGCTCAACGTCTATGAAGTCAGGACAATCACGTGAATATAGCAAAATCAATGTAATAGTCACATTTGAGGAATGAGGAGACTACTCCAGGAGTACGGCTAACTGGGAGAAAGGTACCACCAAGTTGATTCCACATGCTTCTGTTCGCGCGAACTAGGCAATACCTGTAACAGGAAGCGTTTGCTAGATCTTCTTCACTCCGTAGTCAAATATAGAACCTATCATCTGTCTGGATGAAAGAGGAAAACAAATGAAAGACTCATTCGACATCACCTCCTAAATATACTGGATATGACGGGTTGCACTAAATAGGCATCTTCGAAGTATCTGGTACAATACTCAATGGCGATGATTTCGTTGCGTCGACGGCAGAAATTAGGATGACCGAGGACAATTTTCCTCTGTTTTTATACTTTGACACTTTATCGGCGTCATTATACGTTGCCGTTGTATAAATAACCGAATGTTTCCCGACAGCCGCTTAATTCGTCTTGTCATTTTGTTGAAATTATTGTGAATACATCCATATTTTGTTGCCTAATGCGACTGAAACATCCGCGATATCAAGCTATACAGACAAATCACAAGCAAAATCACTCCACCCCAAACGCCTGCGGTTCAGAGTTTTGCAAATATCTCCGTATCATTTTGGTTTTATCACACATATTACCCTTTCGTGAAAAATGGTAATAGCCAGTAAGTAAAAGAGTTAAGATTGTGATTTCGACTACAGCGTCAGCTTAACAGGGGCTCATTGCCGATTTGTGCTCACCAGACCGATCACGTTTAAGATGATTGTTGATATCACTGATCGGTAGAAAACTAGCTGATAGACGAGCAAAACGAAGAGCCAGCGTGGTGATGAAAGCGTTACTCCCCACAAAGGGTAATAGCGTGTTCGTTCCCCACCGCAGACACTTGCGGTCCAGAGTCTTGCAAATATCTCAGCGTCATAGTGGTTTTATCACACAAAATACCCTGCCGTGGAAAATTGTAATACGCAGTAAATAAAAAAGTTGAAATTAAAATCACTCCTTTCACAATCGTTAAGTGGTTTTAGAAAATAAAGTAACACTATATAACAAAAAGCTTTCTACCATTTTTGGACGGCTACAATGCCGGTTGCGTCATAGATCATCCCAGGTTTTTGAATGGTCATAAAAGCAGGGCTACAAAGGAATAGAGCACATAAACATCGAATTCGACTCGACTACCATCTGCTGCTTCTTTCCTGTCAGAAACAGGTGCGTCGCTGCACCTACTGTTATTCACGCAATTCGAGAAGAAACCTTCAACTTCACCATATGTTCCTGGTTTAAGCTAGTTCTCTCACTTAAACACACATCTCGCACGAACTTCAATGAGATCGGAGCTGTATTCCGTAAGCTAACTATCTTAACTTTCTAGGATGCATAAACCCATTTCACTACCTGGGTTCCACTACGAAAGGAAGCGGCCTGGGCACACCCAGTGATCTATCGTTTTTGCACTCGAGCTCCGAAAAGTTTTCCAACTTTGACGATCTTTAATCTGGGGAACAGTTCCTTTGCTCATAGACTCCCCAGTGCTGGTGGAGAAATGCCAACGACGTTTAACGTGCCCAAAATCTCGATCTAAGCGCTTTCCGAGCGAAACTAACGAATGTCGTCTAACGTACCCAAACTTTACGTTGAACTTTACGAACAAGTCGCTCCATCAACATGGATGTTACATAATAGATTGAGACTGGCTTTGTGAAATGCAAAAGACGAAAAAACTAGTCAGAGAAGACCTAGAATGTCTTAATTAATCTCTTAAAAACCCATATGGTTTATTATGTTTACGAAGCTGCCCCAAATTCCTTGCATCACTGCATACCGTTTGTTAAGAACACGCTAGGCGGTTGCTTCCAACCCATGTGTTTATATGAGTGGCGAGCCACGTATGGGAACCCGTGGTTAACTCCGACCTTATACAGAGGTCGATGCCGATCGCATGTTTTTTCGCTTTTATTGATTCGGCAACACTCGATCACAAAGACTTGTCTATCTGATTGCTTTGCAAAGTCCATTCTATACCAGTCTCGTTCTTCAGTTCTAGCGTAAACGGAATAAGTGCAAGAAATGCCGGAATCCACACAGCAAGTTTGAAGACGAATTATGTAATAAAAATTTAAAAAACAAGGTCGAAAATCGAGGGCTGGTAGAGTAGTGATAGTGATGTCATACATCACGAGCAGGTGATGGTTCCTCCTCTCCCCAGGACCACGAAGCGTCATATTCCTTTAGGGTCGGGAAATTGCCGCCAGACTCCGCGAGCTCACTTCACCGAATCCATGGAGGAACGTTCTAGTAATGCTGTGCTAAAACTCTAGTAACGATCGACTCGACCAGAACTCAATCACATATATAACGAAGGCGAACACCTTCGAGCTACCGAACTTAAACCCAGAAGATCGAAGACCTTCGCAAAATTATTTACGGAAGACTTGGGATTGGAAAAAGTCCTGTCGTCGGCACAGTAGACTTGATGACAGACGATGTAAATAAATCGAAAATTGAACAGTATTTCGCATATATTTGTTATTTATTCTACCTTTTTAATCAGTGCTGTTATTCTTGTTTCACCTGCTGTTCTGTGGTACGCCATACTTCGTTTTACTTTTGTCTTCGCCTTTAGTTCCCTCTTATTATTATTATTATTATTATTATTATTATTATTATTAATCACTCGGTGTTTTGTCTCATCATCTATTATAGGTTTTTTAATGTGGGATATTAGTAGAGTACACCAGGAAAACTTGCTTTCTGATTTTTAGCCTATCCCGGAGAACTCTTTGTGCAAATATAAAGCGCAAAAAGAGCCACTATTCATTTACACTTGACGAACTCCTTCGTAAGTACAGAATCACTTCAGTACTTGGATCATCAGAACAAAAACAGCATATAAGAATGGGAAAACTATTTCTGCTTCTCAGCGCTTTCTTCCTTATTGTTGCGAATCTATCGTTAACACGAGAACAACCTCCGTTGGAACGACTGAGTAAGCTCCACTTCCTCGTTCATGAGCTTTCCGACATCGTCCTCGCAATTTTTCAGAAGCAATCTTCAAATCGGATCTAGAATTTTCTCCTATTTGTGAATCGTGCACAGCCATGATGTCTGCTATTGGGTTAGCATATTTTTCGCTCTTTGGCCTTCTTTGTTAACTTTGATTGAAACTTAGAATCATTATTAATGAAGTATTTGATGTGCTGACTGTGCGAAGTTTTATTAGTCAATTTTATTTTCCTAGTGTGGTTATAAATTGGTTCAAGTCGGAAGACGTGGTTTTGGAATTCGCAACTCTCATTTGTAAACTAATAGCAAAACAACCGTGGACCGTATGCGATGGAATTTCTCATCAATTTCGGGTAATGAAGAAATTGCAATAGTCCCGAAGCGCGCATTCAGCATGAGATTTTCCAGGACGAGTTTTTCTACGTATTTCGCAAACTATCGAAAGAGAGACCGTCTCGAATTTGTGGACTATTACTGGATAGTTGTGCTGATCCAAATGACACAACGCAGTCAGGATGGACGATCAATCTGCCACCGAAGCTAAACAACACACTTATGGAGAAATTGATAAAGGAGAATACGAAATGTACTAAATACATTACCAGTTATACGACGTGTTCTATGTGGCTTTTTTCAGTAGCTCATTCGAATTTCTTTTCGCCGACCCGTAACCTCCGAGTACTACAACTTACTGATCTGCACATCGATTTCGAGTACCGGCCCAGTTCTGAAGCCAACTGTGATTTGCCGGTTTGCTGTAGGCATGGTACCGGTAGGTTCTTGAAGGTTGTATGTTTAACGCTTGCAAAAGAAACAGCCGGCTAATTACGCTAACCTTCGAATTTATGCTAGCTGAATTAGACTAAAAAAAGCAAATTTTAAGTAAGGTTCTCTAAGAGACGTTGTCCGCTACATCTCTTCGAATTTACCATGGTAAAACAATGTTGTTACTAAATTGATAAAATATTCTAAAAACTGCAACGTATGTGACTGACTACAGCTGATTTACCGATGGGAACCGTTTTTATTTCGTCACTACGGCTGGATCATCTGTCACACCACCACAGGACGTTAATCTCAAACAATTGTGATACAAAGCTTTGATTAATCTCTCATACTCAAACAACCGGCAGTGGCTTTTTTCGTACGGGTTGATAACTACTTGTTGAAAAACCCTCCGACAAGCAAACCGCGGCTAACAATGCCTTGTGAAGATTTATGGCGGGTAAAAATCTAATACTTGCTTATTTTTTCTTTCATCCGCTTTTTTTACATTGTATTCTTAATCCACGGTGTTCGGATTTGCTTGTGAGTTCTGTTGGCACTGCGGCATTTTGTCATCCTTGTGGAAGTCGTTTAGTGCTCTTCGGTCTGATTCCTAGTGGGATTCTTAATCCTACCCATTTTTCCTAGGTCATCATTATAGCTAGTCGCCGATTTTCATGGATCCAATGATGCGTATCCCAGATGAGTCTGGTGTCGAATTACTGAATCACGACTGTATTGTAATGTATTTGTATTATATTTGTAGTGATATCATGTTTTAAGGAACATTAATGGAACACTTGTGTATTTCTTTCCAAGGAATGGAAGATTGTGAAGGAACTGAGAAATCCTTGTTTTTATTGAGCTGGCAAGGTAAAATAGATATTAAGAAGCTATTAAACACTTAGATTTGGTTGGAGCTAAGGCGGGTTTACCAGATGTGAGAACTTTAAATAGGAAATTCGGTCGTCTGAAAAAGTGCGTACATTAACTCTTCCTAAAAAGGAAGCCGAAAGGGTCGCCAGTGTGAGTGTAACAAACACCTGCTGCTCAACTCGATACCTCACGTTGTGCGGATCCCGGCACTTCTTACATTCTATTCGTTTCCTCCCTCCATCGCCCACAAATGTCTTCGTATTTGCGTGTGGGGTTGACTGCTCCTTGACGGTTCTTATCTGCTTTATGAATATTGTTGAATGCCGATCGAATGGATTTTTTCCGAAATCTTGGAAAAGCGGAGCTGTGGCGTATAAGTCTGGCAAAATTTTCCCCATCCCGAACGAAATGGAAGCTTGGTGAGCTTGGAGCGGGGTCGAATCAGCGCCTTGCTTCTACTGAATGGCATCGCTACTCGCTCCTTAATTAACGGGTACTACAGGAACTAACTATAAGTTATAGATAAAGATCTTGCACCCAGCATCCCGTTTTGTTTTGGATTTAATTCTTCTATGACTTGCTTAATTTAGAGGTACCCTAATGTTGTGGTCTTGCTCTATTATTGGCATTTAATTTCCCCACTCTTTTATGGGGTGTGTAGCGCAGTGTGTAGTGATTTGCTTCGACACTGCCTTCTGTTCACCAATCACCGAGCTTTCGGTATGGTGAAGTTGGTACCGGACTTGTGTGGCGAAATCTCACTCTCTCCAGTCTAAGTGGTAGCTTCGCTATCTCGTACTCCAGGAAGAATTGACTCCATCCCCATTCAACCACATTCACGGCGAAAGGAAAATCCTTAAGTAGCAGCTGAATTCGCACGCAAAATTCGGAAAACCTTCATAGATGCCGAATGCCAGAAGTTCTGGAGTACTAAGAATAGATGTGAAAGACTGATGGTACAAACAAAAGTAGATGCTTAACGGTTCGTTCTGCTGTCATCATTTGTGTATTTCAATGAATAATAACTCATCCATTTGACATTCTATGGTACAAAATGTATCCATTTACTTTCTATCTCGGCAACTTACGAGAGTTTTACTTAGGACTGTAGTTGGTACTGATCATGTCGTCTGGAATGCTCCGCTTTCAAAGAGTAGTGCACATTATAAACACGATATTACGCTTAGAACTCTACACCATCGTTAAAAACAAGTATAATTGGTGATAAGATTAACTGTTGAACATTAAGACGTCGGAGTTATCAACTTTTTATTACAGGAATTCCGAAAAAACCAGCAGGCTACTGGGGTACCGCTGGAAAATGCGATATACCGTATTGGACAGTCAAAAACATGCTCGAACACATAAATGCGACACATAAGGTCATTTGCATCTTTATTTTTCCAAAGTTTTCATACCGTACATAAAATGGACTACTTGCTCTATGTTATATTGGTACCTAAGTCATTGCTGGTACCTGTTCAAAGTCCCTTTGTTCACTTTCGAACCTGTTAATACGCTCTCGGAGTGTGTTGTAGAGCAAGAACATAAAGGAGTGGAGAGGCGATACAGAAAGCAACATCGGGTTTAAATGAAGGACCAATGAGTTTGAACCGTCAGACTCGTCGAATACGTGACGCAGATTAGTTCGTCTACGCTCTCCAAGACTACTAACATTGACACACGGTGCCATTAGTGAATGAACTATCTGTTCCTGGTTCACGCGCTTCTCCAATAATACACGAACTGCGTTTCAGCATAAATTTAAAAGCAACGATTAGCACAAGGTTACTTATAACACAAGGTTACTTAACCCAACTTTCATTTGTTGCTCCTTCTCTCTGGTTTCATAATTATGTTTTCTCACCAGAAGTTCACCCTCAGGAACGACACTTGGATATCTTGTACATATTAATCATGTATCATGACGGCTATAGAACATGGTAAATTCTTACTTATGATTCCGTTCATCAGCGGGTAAGAATAATGTGTTTTAGCGTTGCATCCAGTTGCTTGTGTTATCCACCAGAGTTTCGTAGTAGTCGCTGCACATTCGATGAGCTTTAGAAGCATCACATCATTAATATAAGACACCTAATTTTTTGTTGCCTTTAGGGAATTGGTATCCAACCGTATCTTGCACAGCTATGCCGGTGAGAACGGCGCGTCCACGCATTTTATTGCAATTTTTGGTCTAATCGAAGTGAAAGATACATTGCCTTTAACGTAAAAACATCAACTTCTTGGATACATGCACACAAAAGTGATTCAATGACATAAACTCCATCTCTTGAATGAATCTAGGTTTCCGACTAAAATACTTCGTGTTTAACGCTGCCGCCGCCGCCGCCGCCGCCGCCGAGGAAAACCCCACGTGAGCTGATGGTTTACCCGACTGTATTCTTTCAACACGAAAAAAAACTGTGAATCGAATGTGTATGCATTGCATTTGCAAACCATCTTTTGTATATTCAGTAACTTCAAGGTTAAATAGAAGGCTTTTGCTTTTTAGCAAACTTAACCATCACTCTGACTTCTTAAAACTGTTTCCAATTTTTCCATTTTCCCGTAGTTCTGATGTTTTATCCAAGTTTTGTTTGCTATAGAAGAATTACGGCCCTAAATTGGAAAAACTTATCTAAATGTCGCCCTTCGGCTCAAATCGAGCAGAACCCCTAATGAAAGAATGGTGTTTGCTTTCTATCCAGATAGACCAAGCTGCTTATTTCCTATTCAGATCGACTATATCATGCTTTCCGGAGATTTTATCAATCACTTTGACTGGATCTACACTGTTGATGGGCATGTGACGGCACTTAGAAACGTAAGCGCGCTGATACGCCACTTCTTTCCCAACACTCCCACGTACTGGTCAATCGGAAACCATGAAGGAGTACCAGTAAACAGGTAAGTTTGATAACATACACATTTCCTATAAATTAGTTTCGATTTCAGATTCTGTGTCATTTAGTTTCGCACCGCATTTTGTTGATAAACGATTCTGGCCATCATGGCTGTACGAGGAGTTCTCCGCAATGAGCGCACCGTGGCTAGATTCTAATGCATCGAAGACTATGCTCTAGTAAGTTCTTTTCAAGATGTCGTTGCGATTTCGAAAGGTCGAAAATGAACACATGTGACGCAGTGGTTAGAGGTCCCTTGTAAAGAACACCTAGACGCTGGTTCAATCTCACTCCGCCATCTAGTCAATCCATCAACTCTCAAGAGGCAATGAAGTATTATCATTCATTTCTTGGAGGGTAAAATCACTGATTTGAGACATCGGTAGGCCGCTTCAAGTCATTATATAACCCAATCATGTATTCATTCACTTCTGAGATGCTTAACTTTTCCGAGGACATGCCACATTCCGAAAGATTTATCAGTGTTGAGGGCTTTACTCTTTTACGCCTTATGAGTTTTGATGATTTATTTAGCCGTGGTTCGTATTCTGTGAAAATTGTGAATGGTCTTCGACTTATCTCACTGAATTCGGGTTTTTGTGAAACAACCAACTTGTGGGTTTCTCATCTTAAAACATTGCTACTATTTCTTTCGAAATTCACATCCTTTTAGTTTCCTGTATTTAAACCAGAGCGATCCCGATGGCACCATGTCTTGGTTGGTTCTTGAACTTTTCAAGGTGGGAGAGTTATTGTAGCTCCATATAAGTAGTTTGTATAGTGTGTTGTATGCAAAATTAGCAGCATATTCCTTAACCAATACATCTGAATCTATTAAGGCTGAGCTATCGGGTGAGTCTGTTCATATACTGTCGCATATTCCTCCAGGAGACAGCGAGTGCTTGGAAGGTTGGGCGCGTAACTACTACCGTATCATTCAGAGGTTTCGATATTTTGTTTATGGTCTTTGTTACTTCGTATTCTTAAATTAATACGCTTCCTCGAATTATGAGAAAAATTATGGAGCGGAGCAATTTTTATGCGACCATTATTTCTCAGGTTGGTTCTTTTTTTTAGAGTCATGAGATGTTCCTTACACGGTGTAGGGCAAACCGTCATAAGAGACAGTCGCAGACACTTGTGAATGGGTTGGAGGCTTGCCGGCTTATTGTTTAGGTTTCTTCAAAGAAGGCAGCATTTACCATAAATGTAGCTACTAGAGAAGCTTTCGTATGGAGATATTGAACTAGATTAGGTGATACAACCCTGGTTAGGAATTCATTACTATGCTCTACAGTCCTCTTGAATTCACCCACTTATTCACCCACTTCATGGTAACGTGAAAAACTGCTCACGAGGAGAGCTAAGCACTTTGAAAGGAACAGTTTGTTAGCTGGTTTTTACCAATATTGTTTCCTCAGGTTTTCCAACATCATTAAAGGGCAGTTTTTCGGTCATGCCCATACCGACTACGTTACAGTATTCTATGAGGATATGCATAATATCTCATCAAATCCTATTGATGTGAGTCAATTATAGTTCTCTCTCTCTCTCCATCTCATTCTTGATAATCGGTGGTTGTGATTCAGGTTTTGTATGCGGCTCCAAGTACTACCACATTCGCTGGAATGAATCCAGCCTACCGTATTTATGAGATCAACGTGACTGACCACTTTGTGAGTTTCCTTTTTTTGTAATTGATAAAAACCTTACTTGGATACTTTGATGCTTGAATTTCCCGTTTTTATTTTTTGTGTGGGTTCCAGACTAATTCCCACTTTTTTCGGAGTATTGCTGGTCTAGCCTTTGTGGTTCCCTAGAGTTTCGGGGTCAATCTAGCCAGTGTCTGCCTCTGGTCGTCACCACCACAGGCAGTCGCTGCCTTTGTGGATCAGAGGGAGATTTACTCCCACACGACTAATTTGACACCATAACGGTGGTGGATACTGGTATTGGTTTGCCGTTAGCTGGGCTTCCTGAAAGCGCCTGATCCCTTTTAAGTTTGGGATGCCTTGCTAGGCGGATGAATTCCTCTGCTGTACAACGGAGATCGACACCCAGAAACACCTTCCAGCCACGATGAAGCGGTAAACCGTTGGATAGATGAAATCTACTGGTCATTACTATCTATTAAATCTCTTCTTGGCTAAATATCAGAGGCTGAACTCACATTCTCTCGAAATTTTTTACCGTTTCCATTATAGTGCATCGATGCCGTCGTGTATAATTTCACCCTTGACAAAATGAACATGCAGTGAGTCCCACAAGTGTTTGCTTTAGACATACAACGTCCCAACTGCTTTCTTAGTGTCTGGTTTCCACTATTTTATCGAATGCCGTGATAAGTGATAAAACGTGGTAAGCACATGGTGTTTGCCAATCTTATGAGGGCACATAAGTGGACGAATGTTTCACTTGTAGACCCTCTGACCGATGATGTTTATATGCTCCTCGAGTACATTAAGTGGCCTACAAAGGCCATCAGATGGATAAATCGACACTTAATCATTCAATCTTATTAACAACAGACAGCTACATATCGATGGACAAACCAATCTAATGCTTTATTTTCAACAAAGCGAAGTTGAAACAGCAGTTCAGGTGTCACTGAAATATTACCATTGTTATACTCTATTGTTAAACGTCATCAGTGAAAGAACGCGACTTGGAACGAAATGAACAGGTTCAAATCAGTGGATTTAACAGTGCACAAATTCAATTCTTCGGCGAGTGTGAAGCACTTGTTAGAAGTACACTACAGTAAACAGATTTTACTTCTGCTTTTAGACCGAAAATTGGTATTAGGCCCGTCTGGGAGGGTAACAGCACTGCGTTTGTAGATTGGTGGACCACCGCAAGTCACTGTATAGACCAAATATGGATTGAATCACCTCTAAAATGCTTGCTGAAATCGGATGCATAGTGCCTCGCTAAGATTGGTCAATGTTGATCGTTTGATGTTCTGTCCTTTCTTTATCGCAACTGATACGGTGCATAATATTATAGGTGATTTAACAAGACCTCCTCAAGGTGCACGTACCCTTTATAGAAATGGCATAATAGTGAGCGAATTGAAGCGTTTTATCGAAAATGCTAATACAGAGACCGTGTACATCCTTTTGAGTAGCAAAAAAATTCTTTGCGACACTGAGCGAACTACACAATTTTAGAATGGATTCCCTCACTAACTTCATTTTTCAAGTAGAAGTTTGTGCTTGTGACAAACGCAAACTAGATTAGAAATCTTATCGCCAGACGGCAATAAGGTCTACGTTGTGTGGCAATGTAACCGTTAACGAGTCCTGATCTCCCTGTGAATGAATTATCGGTGAAATTTAGTTTGAGGAATGATGATGCCTCTCAAGGAATCTGGATATCTGCGAGACGAATGCGGAAATCTATCTATGCGACCTTTGTAGGTCGGATATCTGAGAAATGTGAAAAATTTTATCTGAAGAATGTGTCTGGCAGTTTTGAAACAAAATCAGCAGTACGTTGGTATCCCCAACAGACACGGACGATCGAATGGTTTGCAGTTTGAGAAAGGTAGCCTCAATAAAAACCAACAACTCGTCAGTCATTCGTTCTTTGGCTGTTTAAAAGTTCACTTGGCAAGGGGGAGAATAGAGGAGAGTTCTACTACGTACTTGATATGCGGTTAAGTAGCACGTCAGCTAAACAAACATTTGATTGTCTAAATAGATGGTTCAAGTTGAACGCTTTCTGTTTTTGCTTTTCACAGCAGTGCGATAGTAATACTAGCGAAGGCCTCCGTCGTAGAAAAATACATGGAGTTTGCTTTCAATTCTTTAGAATTGAAGTAGTGTTAATATTTGAAGTAAAGTTCTGGAGAGGGATCGTATAAACATTCAAGGTTTACATTTCATGAAGAGATTCGTCTACGCTGGAGAAAACTCGGAAAAGCATTATACAGGATTTTTCCACCATCTAACAAACGGTATTCACTAAAACCAATAGAATTTGCTCATACGGGTGATTGTTGATGGCGGGGTAGTTAGAAAATCAGCTAAAAGAAATGCAGGGAAAGGGCCTCCATGGCGTAGCGTGTAGAGCCCTCGGAAAGGGAATTTTGGTTCGATATGGCTCGGTGTCCAAGTTTCGCGAATATTTCAGCATCATTGTGGTTGAATCTCACGTAATGCCCTGCCGTTAAAACTTAAGTAGGCAACAAATAAAAGATTAGCTTTGTTAATACAATTTATACGTAAGACATTTTTCCTTTCCAAACAGTATGTCCGGATCTACATTCAGTCATTTATGTGGGCAACATTTGTTTCAGAAAGTGGACAACATAATGAATTATTTTGCCGATTTGGAGAAGACCACTGTGGACAGACCGCCGAATTGGAAGCTTTTGTATTCGGCTAAAGTATGTTTTTGCTAGAGAAGCCAGCAATTGTGAAAAGTTTCCGTTCCTATCGCGAAACACTCAGGATGAGTATGATCTCAATGATTTGTCTCCTACGAGTTGGAACAACTTAGTGAATTCTCTATACAACGATAGGAAAACTGCCGAGCGTTTTTTCAGGTATTCAATTGTCATTTTTTATACCTCTTTGATGTTTCTCGAGAACAATGAGACAAATAAGAAGTTCATAAGCAACTGGTCCCAATTTTGGTGTTGAGTAATAAATTATAATGGTCGTGGTGAGGTGACCCGAAATCTTTAACACATTGGTGATTTCGCAACGTTTAACGCTTCAATGGACGTCTTGCTTAGAGTCATTTTGGTCGCCCATTCAATAAATAATGAGAGCATTTGCGCAGAAGCACATCAAACAGACGATAACCTATTAAAGGAATGTTTAGTAGACAACGGCATTCCTTGCAGGAATGCAGTTCGTGTAGAGGATCATATGTGCGACGCGACGTGTCAGTGGAAACTCCTCTGTGCCTTAAGAATGGGTCATCACAACTCGACGCTTTACTGTCCGGATAAACGTTTCTCAAATACCACTGAAAGGAATGGATAGCTTTCACTATCGATTTAACCCAACTACTTCAATGCACTTTTTATTCAACGTTGTTCATACACTTCTTGTTCATCCAGATATTCGTAACTCGTCGTTTTAATTCAGGTATTTGGAAGCAGTAATATTGAACATATCTGGTGTAAGTATTTAGTATATTTGGAAAACTTGATCTGATCGGAATAAACCGTTGATGTATTTCATTACCATCATGAGATATGCCGCCGCATTCATAGTTCGTTCGTCTAACTTATTGGTAGAGGCTATAAGTATGTTTCATAGTTGTGCTGTGGTTTGCCGAAGCATGGTCAATAGCTTCAACACTTCTATTAAGCGCTGATAATAGAATGGCCTTCATTTATGCCCTCCAATAGTCAGGGTTCAAGAAGATGTGTAAGTGGCTTGTTACAGAATTTACAGCAAGTTGCCATGAAAAGCCATTTCTAGTAGAAATCTATCTCCTTGCCTCGAAAGCGGTTCATCTCGGTATCGAACTTTAGGAACACCAGTCTGCAACACAATAATTTGAAGCCTAGCGAACAAGTCGTGTCATGTCTTCTGTTCGGATATCCTTGCGCTGGTGTTCCTCAGCTTTCGTTAGATGGAATTGTTAGTCCCAACTATTGACCCTGAACCCTCACGTTTCTATGTTGCTAGGAAATTACAAGAAAGAAAACGACAAAAAACCCATGGGTACCTTCTTACTTCGGTCTCCGATATTTGCAAACGTGTATGGCTCTGCTCCTAAGAATCGAACAATATCGTGCATGGAAATCTAAAATTTCTCATTCTTATTTTATTGAGACAGGAGAGAAATGCACAATCATTCGCTGGTACACCGCATAGTAATTCCAGCATCTGCTTCCTCTTAACGTCGGCATTGATCAATAATTCACGGTTTTCTTCTTAGGCCCCATAGGTTGTTAGCATTTAACTTACTTCGCGATTATTGTTTCTGCGGATTTTGTCATCTTCAGAATCTCGAATGGTCAACTTGATGTGCAGTCTATCCAGCAAATACCTTCATAACCCTAACCGAAAAAGATAAAGACCTAGATTTCAGTACTAAAGCAAGCAGCTTCTTCAGACACGAGCCGTTTTCTACGGGTCGTCCAGTAAGTAGGAGTGGAGGCTAACCGCAAAGTTTGCATGGGTGAGGAATTTTCTTGTTCTAGATCAAAAAATCGGCCTGAAGTACAAGACGAGGTCACGCGCGCTTACCAGGCACTCCACCATGTCCTCCAGTTTTGGATTTTTGGAATATCAAAACACCTCAAGCGCTTTAGCGTTGATATTTTAGATTCCTATGCGAGGATAATGACTTCTACTTAAAAATCCCTGTTATGTCTGTGTCCTATGCGTACTTCGTAGAGCGTTTTTTTTATTCTATGTTTCCCATCTATGTGACCTGTTGGCGTGTGTAGCGCAGTGGTCAAAGGTGCCCTGCAATACACACTTGGTTACTGATTCGATTCTGGGATCCCAGACTGAGCTAGCCTTTGGTTCCTTCTGATTTGACAGATTCCTACAAGGCGGCCTGGGAGAAGTAGCACTCACTTGAAAGATCAGTACTTCCATCGCCACTCTTGCAGACCAGATTTGCCCTCGATCATTTCTAACAATGTTTGATGAATTCGAAAGCAAGGAGCATCCCTCAGGGAGCGATCAACTTCGAGAGCTTTACCCTTTATCTAGAGGATCTTTTCTATGAACACAGCCGTCTGCCCGTTCCGCCAAGCCAACATATTCGTACTCGTACACTTCATAAACTATCAGGTGCACCTTACCTGAACTCATGTAATGAACATCTCCATCATTACAGCAAGTTATAGAATTTAGCGTTCTACACTGATGGTCCTACAATGGCTTATAAGCGATTAAGAACTAGCAAACATTTCAGAGTGCTCGGCAGTACTTCAATTACTGCTATTGAATTCTCTAGACCGACATTTTACATGCAACGTGTTATATCAGCATTTATTTCGTTGGGAATGAAGATCTTGATAAACGGAACTTTATCTCCGCCAGTTGTAGCGCTTGAGGATGAGGCTTGCGCCCGAATCCATTTGTAGATAGCCACTGTTTCGTAACCATTGTGGATGGAAAAATTGCAGAAAAAGCTTCTAGACAAGCTGTTCCATATGCGATTAAAAATTAGGTTTCGGATTTTTCTGTCGTGACTGCGGAAGCACAGTAGACAGAGGATCAGTTGGGACTTCCTCATGCTCTAGCGAAAGCGAAATTTGCCAAAACGTTTGCTATTGAGAAATAAGTGTTGCAATAACAACGTCCTCCACCCTCCGGAGTCGGCAAATTGGTAGTAGACTTGTCTGGGAGGATAGTAGCAGTGGCTCGATACATCGGTAGGCCACCGCGAGTCATTGTAAAGGCCAGATATGCATTCAATCACGTCCAAGCAATGCTTGATGAAGTCGAATACATGCCTCATCGCTCAGAGATTGATCAACACCGGGAGATTTATCCTTCATCCTTTAATAACAACTTCATATCTGATCGTCAAAAAACCAGTAAATTACAGAACTATCTGGTGGGAAGTTTCTACTACTATAGCGAGTCATATTCACTCTTTTACATTTGATCCAGCGTTATGATGTCCACCCATTCTTTCCGATGATGTACTTTCAGTGACAGTTCAAAGTGAACAACTGCGTGCTCGCTCAGTTGACTAATTCCACTTTATGAGAGATTCATGGCATTTTCATATCAGTAGAATTGTGCGCATTTGTGAATCGTCTCACTCTGCATTTCGTCACAATTAGTACTACCATAATAACTAATATTCAAATAATATCCATCGTTGTTAATAGAAAAAAGCGCTTGAATAATAAGAATAATGCCCAAATATAGTATGACCCCTCTACAGTAAGTCGTTACTTGAATTCCAGTTGTCATTGGTCTCAGTTGAAGCTAATAGTCAAGATCATAGTATTTTCAGCTTTGATTTCTTAGAACTTTTCCTCATCTGTTCCAGATAGCCATGGCTATACATCTTTGATGGCTAGCGTGTAATGTAACGAATGAACGGGCTTTAATAAAAGAAACCATTCAAAAGAAAAAAATACTGCAAAGTGCTACCGCTGTTGAAGTTCTTTCGTTACAGAAAACCCTTTTATTTTCGTAGCCTGAGTGACTCACTATCTATTGAGAAAGAAATGTTGATAGGAACAAAAACATATCTCACTTAGAACTTTATTTAATAGAAATTTATTAAGTACACGGCATTCGTACTTGATTTAAAGCTTTGGTTTTATGCATCACCATGTTAGATGCCGGAAAAAATACAAAGACATTGAATTATCACAATAAGTGGTTTAAATTAGTTAATGCTAGAACATGAGAACATATGGCAACTTGACGGCTGCAGAATGAGAGAACCTGGCAGGAGTGGCCGAGTAAAGCGCGGCAGAACATCCAAGGAAAGGAGAACACAGCCTGGGGACGGCCCCGTAAACAGTGTAGGAAACAGAACGACAAAGTGATTGACATGAAGCACCTACTCTTGGGAACCTAGTGCAGCGATAACGCCGTAGACAGTGAAGATAATCGCGCCTAGGAAAAACGGGGAAAGGGAGTGGTTATAATGTAGCAATTGAAGGTTATAGAAACACCCGGCAATAAATGAACTAGTACGCAGAGATAATGAACACATAAGACATGAAAAATGAGAGACAGGACTAAGCGCGTGAATTAAACGACCCGACATATAGCAGGCAAAGGATACAATTTGTAGACTACGAGTTAGTTCCGGAACGAGCCGTGTCAGGCTCTTCAGGGATCCGCGACTGGTACCACTCACGGTTCTCCTCGAGCTGATCCAGAATATTCTGCGCATCTGGATACACCAAATCCGCCCACGTCTCATACAACGGATGTACTATATAATCAATGAAGCCAACCTGAAGATACGACTCTCATTGTTTTACAATACATCAAACTGAAGAACAGGAAAATTTACTGAATACTAATTCCCGATTTGTTTTAATTTCTCGCATTATTCGGCACTACTCAAAGAAAATGTTCCACTAAGCTCTGTAATTTAAACAATTCCGGAGCACGAAACCTTGCAATTGGATAATCTGGTATGCTATGTGCCTGGCTACACTTTAACACATAAACGACGATATACATTCTACACAATCATATGCAACGTCTCCAGTGGCTGGTATGAGCTAAGCAAAGACCACCTTTCTCGTGGTTTATTTTGGTGCACACTACCTTTTCCCTACACTTCTTATAGTAAACCGTTACAGTTAAATCAACTAATTAATAGTTTTTAATAAAATAAAATAAACTGTTCTTTCAATTCCATTCGCTATAATGCATCATTGTTATTGTATAGAAAACGTAGGCATAAGAAGTAGATACCAAAATACACGCGGCGTAAGTTGCAAAAATTCTCTAAATGTTAGCAATGTGCAGTGTTTGTGTGATGGACCACAGCAAAGGTAGTAAATAATAAACAGCATGCATCTCCTGTCGTCCTGCCGTCGAGTGATCTGAAAAGGGCACCAGTAAATTTTCCACCTCTCCTTGTTGCGTGTAAAAATAGCCCACTGATTTCTCCTCGCTTCAGAGACTCCTTGGGCATCACATCTTTCTTCCATAGTTTCCGTAAACAACTCTGACCATAGGGGTTGGCTTTCTTCCTAGTGTCTGTATAATATCACGAGAAATCTTTTCACTAACGGCTCCTGTTCATCAGTTGTTGTTCATAGGCACTACAATTTTAGCCCACACTAACTTTAAATATTTAACGTATGGAAAAGCACCTTTGGCTTCTCATCGTTGACGTAGTTCGAAGCTTAAGATCTCTTCCTTCACTTGCATGATCCTAGATACCCTTAGCACCGTCCTTTCGACTGTGCGTTCTATAACACTGAATGATCTTTCATCCTGCTTACGTAGAGACCTGGCTTCTAACGCATACGGCGGACAGGCAGGAAGAATCGTGGAGACGAAACAGTAAGCAAGGAGTCGGGTGTTCGTCGTTCTCTCCGCAACATCCTCAATTCCCTTGAAAGCTCAAACCGCTCGATTTCTCCTGCTCAATTCTGGAGCTAAGCCGTTCCTCATGATGTTTATTTCTCGACCTAGGCAGACGTAGCTGGACCATATGGAGATATTCGTTACGATGAGCGTGAATAGGGTATACGAAACCAATCTTTCCATAGGTGTTATCAAAATCGGACAGTATCCGTTCCTTCTAGCTCATGCTTAGTATTAGAAGAACGATGCCTCCAGCAGAGCGAAGGTGGTGCAGTAATCTACCGTTGATTTTTACTCTCACCTTATCCCATTATAATGTTCGCATGACGTTCTCGATGGCTGCGGTAAACAGTTTTGGTGATAGCATGCATACCACTCACATTCGAGCGATGAAGCAAAGTCTCTTCTACAATCCTGTCATGTTTGCAACTCCGCAAATCTGGCTATCCATAAACTATCGTTTATTATCGAAAAATGAGCACGCTTGTAAGGGCTGAAAACAAGGCGTCGTCCTACGCGTAGGGACGAAAAAATCACGAAGACATTATGCATGAAGAGACATCACTCCATTACCCTGCGATGGTATGCAAATTTTTTTATGTATTTAAGATGGCACCCCAAGCACAATCTGTACAGTGGAGCAGTGGGCTTCTCATTTGTCTACTATAGGTACACTTACGACATGTTTCTGTGGTAAAAGGAAAACGTCTATTTAAACTTTTTTCCCCAAACTATGCGCCCCGCACAGAAGTGGTTCTCTTCCAGCTTATTTTCTTTGCTGAATTTCTTGAGTTTCTCGGATATTACTACCGATTCGTTAGCATTTATTGAAAAGATGTCATTGATAAAGTGAAGGTGAGTTTACCACCAAAGCGTGCGCCTTTTTCATCTCAATTGAGAGATTTTGTTACCAGTAATGAGTTAATTTGGGAGATGGTGCCGGACCTTCTTCTTCTTACGGTTATAAGCAGTCCATGAAAGAGCTGCGTCATTGTAGTACAGGTACGAGAGCAGCTAGAAATAGTTCCTATGTAGGACTGGTACACTCTTTTGTGAGTGATCGAGGAATTAACGACGACCATTTCGATAGTATGGAATGCTTTTATTCGACAAGAATTAAGAGAAGGGAGGTGAAAATTTTGAAGACACTGTAAGACTAAACTACGGTCGAGTTTGGTTCATGTCGTCGAATTACCACCTTTCTGCTTACTAAAGTGGCTAAGCCTCACAAAAGTTCTTGATTTCCGCGAGAGAATAACTTTTTAAAAACCTGCAGAGTATATTTGACACTTAAACTGGGAAACATTAGGGAAGATTTCTTCGGTCAGATTTCACCAGAAAAACGACTGTGGACAAAGCCTCCGAATGACTACAGATCCTTGCATTTTGAAGAAAACTTATCAAATGGTTTCCAAGAAGTACGTGTGGTTTACATCCTCCATGCTAAAGACAATCATGTCTTCTGTTTTTGAAGCTGTGCTTACTGAAAGTGGAATATTGAGTTTGCGAAAGCCCAACGTCTTTTATTAAGATTAGGTCTTCTTTAGGATGTTCCCACCAGTTTTTATTTTCCGTTTGTGCTGATGCCAATTTCTTCCAAAAAGATGTCGAGATTAGAAAAGAAGGATGGATAGATGAGATGGGAGGATCTCGTATGACTCGAAGAGGTGAATAATGCACATGCACAGTAAATTTTGAGTTACTGATATTTCGTTACAGGATCGCTTATTCATAATTAATACGGGTACCGCCATTTAATAGGTTATTGTCGACCTTTGTGCTTCTAGTCTCTAGTGGACCGACCATCACATGGAATTTTATGCAGCTTGTTCCCCCAGGTTCAAGTACCTTACTATCCCACTCTTCACGGCTCATCAAGGACGTGATTTTTTGACCTAGTTCCGCTCAAGTCTCATGCAACGCAGTATTTGATACCACCCCAACGGTTACCCAGCAGACTGACGTCGTAGGCAGGAGTGTCCATAGAATGGGCTCATGAGCAGATTTACTGCTTTACTTTACTGAACAAATTGTTCTTATTCGCTGCAATTTTGTTAATAGACTGCTACCAAGACGGCAAGACGGCCTTGATTTATAATTCTTTTTTTTTAAAACTCCCAGCCTTGAATCTGCATGGAGAAATGAAACATATTATCAGCTTCGAAGATGTTATCGAGAAAATGAAACCCGCAGCAATGCAGTTCGACCCCAGGGAATATTCTTACTTAAGATGAGACGGTAAACCATCGACCGTACTCAAACGCATCGAGAAACCATAAAAACTAAATTTCTGGCTTCTGCAACGACCGTCATGAATTCTTCCTCAAATCCAAACTTACTGCTTTAAATACTTTGAAAATGTGGACAAATGGGCCCTCAATGCAATGGATTTTCATTTTCCTGTACAATTCTGAACTATTAACAAGGACATCTGAACTTCTTCTGTATAAAAATATGTACAGTTTCCTATCTTCATAAGCTCGACGGAATTAGAAAAGTCATGTTTGCGAAGTACTTCGTGAAAGCAGAACAAGTTTAATTCCAAATCAATCTTCAGTGGTCACCACGGTCTCAGCATTGAAGTTAATCAAGATTAATCAACATTTGCAAATTTGAAAGGACCTCACTAAACGTGAGGTTCAGCAAATACGCTGATTGATGGATACTGTACTCGTATAGTATAGCCGTCATCGGAGTCAACTCTCCTAGCAGTTTTGCTGTGCCCGGTAGCGTGCCCGTGCTGGTTAAAAAGTATCATGTAGAGAAGGCACGCTGGTGTTGTGTCAAGCAACTTGAGATGCAATAGGTTACATGACAGCAATAACAAAGACAAATTAATACAAGACATATGAAAACGAAAGATAGAAAATATTTCTCGTGAAATATTTTCTTTCGATACATTGATGATGGTTGTATCCAATGGTAAGTACAATGCATTCACCTGCGACTTTTCTGTGGTGACATTGTCCCTGTCGCACATCGGGGATACCTCGATTCCAAGTTCCTTCTCGCGATCACCCTGTCGCCAATACTCTTCAAGAATCCGACTGTTCCATTGCCGGTACAAATCAATCGGCTTCGTCGGATTCGAGAGATCCGCCAGGTGGATCATGGATTGGAGAACCTAAAAGTTAACATACCAAAAAGTATTGGTAAATTTCTCCCGAATAACTTGGTTGAACTCACTTGAATTTTATCGTTGTATTTGTCGAGTACGACCACGTTATTCCCGGCTACCTTTTTCGCCTCTACCATCGTTTTTAAATCTGCCAACAACGACATATGCTTAGACATATCAGTAGCAAGCACCTAAATGCGAAATCAACATGAGTTTTATGAAATATCCTCAATATCATCGAGGTTCTAAGCAGAATTCAGAACTGCTGCAATAGCGAATACTTAGGCATCAACGAAAACTACTAAATGGTGCGTGACAGACGTTGTTGGCCACTCTCGATATAAGTAACTAGTTAGTTTTTGTAGCGGAAAAAGACTTTGGGGGAAAAACCCACCGTATCATATTATTAATTACCACGTGAAAAGTTGTGGGATAAAACACAAACTGTAAAATTAGCTTACTTTTAGCAACCAATTTAACGAAATATTGGTAAATAGGCCTTACTATTGCACTCTACACCTAAGGAAAGCATTAAAAAAGGATATAAAGCTCTCGGTGTTGATCAATCTACTAGGAATTCGCCATGCATTCGACTTCATCGTTGGAAGGGAACGAATGCATATCTGGCCTTTGTAATGATTCGCAGTGGCCTACCGATGTACCGAGCCACTGCTGCTATCGTCCCAGACAAGTCCGGTAGCAATTTGTCGACCCCGGAGAGATGGAAGGCTTGGTGGGTCAGGTGCGCGGGAATCGATCCCATGTGTAATTTGCCAACAGCGATGATGGCATGAGGGTAGGACCTACCTGCACCTCATTCATCATCAGCTTTAACCACAAGAGCTTTTCTTCCGGCGTATTTGCCACGAAGGACGTGGACAACTTTGCCTGCCTTCATTATCTTATCGTTGAGATAAGTGGATTATGATCTCATGTGCATTGCGGGGCGCCTTCGACCAGTGCGCTACACGCGCCCGTAGGGAAATCATATAGTTATTAAATATATAGTTAAGGACATGTCTAAAAGTTAAAGAGGAGTTATTTACACAAATGTTCCACTTTGACGATAATTTGGTTTGATGATGGAAAATGTAGTTTGGCCGAAGGTCAGTGTAGACTCCGATCTGGTCTCAACACGATTCAACACTATCATCATAAAGAACAGGTCGTGCGCGACAATAACGAATTACTTCCGGAGATGTGCCAATCAGTCTGACGGTAGCGAGTATCTTCGCGAATGCAGAATCGAAGAACCCCCGGTCGATCTCAAATCTATCAGAGGAGGTGGGCGTTGATGATTGAGCTGGTAAAGACACATTCAGTGAACATGATGAGCAAAACTAAAACTGTACAAGGCCCCGATGGTCAATCTAACTCAACCGGATAGATATAAAAATCGTTACACTCTGTGTCAAGAATAACAGGAGCTGAAGAGATATTTAACAGAAAAAGTCATTCTTCATCTTTTCCGGGGATTTAACTGCTGTGCACAACTCCTACCGAGACCCTAGCTCTGCCTTTGTCTCAGCCAGTCTTTTTATACTAACGGTTCCATCACCATCAGCCGTCATCTGAAATGATCTGGGAAGCACAAATCGGCATTAAACTGAGTTAAGATGAAGTTAGTCGAAATGATAATGTTGAACTTTTAAGAAATCCCAAAACCAAACTTCATTTAACCACGGCATTCATCAGTAACACTGTTTTTCCTGATGAGCACTGTTTCTTCCTGTTTGTTCACCAGGAAAAACAATTTGACTTTTATTTACTGCCTATTCTTATTACCTATGTGTGGCATGGTACTATGTGTGAAGTACAACCATAAGCGTATTAAGTATGAGCCATGCCTCTAGTTTCGCGCATATCTCAGCATCCCTACTTCACATAATACCGTACCATGTAAAAAGAAAGTATAGGCAATAAATAAAAGCTTATTATGATTTCGACTACAACTTCAGCTTAACTAGGTTCAATGCCGATTTGTGCTTTCTACATCATTCCCATTGACGGGTGACTGCTGATGGCAGCGTTTGAGTAAAAAACTGACTGAAGCAAAGGCAAATTAAGAGCCTCGATGGTGCAATGGGTGACTCGTGAGCCTCCGCAAAGGTTAATCGTCAGTTGGAAGTCCACCCACCTATAGTTTCGAGGTTTTGTCATATCTCAACATCCTTTGGGTGACATTGAGTAGTTACTTAATATAATCTGAGATCTACATTTCTTATTAGAAATAAACCACAGATGCGATGGGCCGAAAACACTTAGTGGGACATTATTTTTCTTTTACTTCGCTATTTAAGGCGGTTCTATTCTTTTCTTCCGTTGGAAAAATGGAAATTATGCTGGTGTCTGAATAGCCAGTGAAGGCGGGCCATTCAAGGATCCAAGTATTTACGGTAGTTTTTGTTGTCGCAAAACGCATGCTGAAACAGCAACAGTGGCGTTTCTTTGCACGAAAAAAGCGAAGTCTAAAAAAATTCTGCTGAATAGCAATTTTTTGCGACATCGGACAATAAACCGACTAAGCTCTCAGCTCTAGGTTCCCAGGTACTCGACTCATGGAGACATCATTGGCAGTTATTGAAAATGTAGCACTTAAGAACATATTAATAAAAACATACTCAACATCTCGAAGGGAAGCAGAACTGCGAATACAGAAGGCAACCTATCATTTTTTAACTATGGAAATACATTGATAAGACAAAGTTACAATTGTGATCAAGGAGAAATCATGAAGGGAAGAATGAAAGGTGCTTGGGCTTACCATATCGATGACGATCTTCCGGAATTGCAACCGTTGCTTCTTCGACAGAGTGCAGAGAAAGTCACAGTTGGAATCTTGCAGAAGTTTGAAGGCTACGGCAAGATGGTGTTGTTCCAAAACGCTTTCGTCGTTGTACATGATGGCCAATTCATTGTCTGAACCAAGGTTGTACATGGAAGAAACCGAAAGATTAGAGAAAAGAGAAGGATAATCATCAAGCAACAATCATTCCACCCAAACAACAGAGATTTCTTTTACAAAGTCGTCTTAACACTCTTTTAATAAAATTAAGCATTCACAGATTTTGGATGATGGTTTCCAACCATTACAAACATCTAAGAAGAAAGGTAAAAACGATGAATCTGCAAAGATAGCACAATGCTAATTAAAGGATAAAAGGATAAAGCCCTCGGCGTTGATCAGTCTCTGAGGGATACGCCATGCATTCGACTTCATAAAGCATCGTTTGGAGGTGATTGAATGCATATCTGGTTTTTACAATGACTCGCGGTGGCCTACCAATGTGTCGGGCCAATGCTGCTATCCCCCCAGGCAAGTCTGGTACCAATTTGCCGACCCCGAAGGATGGAAGGTTTGGTGTGCCATAGGCGCGGGGATCGATTCCACGTCTGTGTTGCATGGCGCCTCCGACCACTGCGCCACACACGCCCTACAGTGCTAATTACGCTGAAATATGTACGAAACGATGGGTAATTTTCAGGACACAGGAAATCGATCGATTTCGAATCGAAAAAACGCGAATTATTTCTATACAGACTGCAAACTACGCTCCTACGACAGCAGCTACCACTACCCTTAAAAGCTTATTACGATTACTATTCAATATTGTATAAGAAGATCAAGAACACCACATAGATATATAGACAATGTGGACCAGTATTGTTACAATAAAGTGACTTGAGCAACAGATTAAATAAGCAACAAATTGTTTTCACTGAATGACTGGATTCAAGCAGGGCAAAATGAAGTGGTAGAAAAAGCGGAGAAATGCTTCAACACAGGAACTCACTGGAATTGATAAGATATTGGTTGGTGAAGCCGGGGTGGTCTACGTCATGAATGGCACCAGCGAAGATCGCCGCCATCACCTCGAGGTCGGAGAACACCTCCTGGAATGCTGTGGCCGTTGTTCCAGATCCACAAATACCCGCTCTTTTTCTACACAATGATTTGCTGGTACTTTCTCTTTAACCTCTCACTTCCAATCACATCAATTTCACTTCGTAGTTATTAACAACACTGGTGTTGAAAGTGTATAATTTTAGATGTATGATATTATGTATGTGCTCGCTTAAATAGGAACTCATATAATAAATATCGATTGAATAACGACGGAAATGATAGCAACAACGTAGGCAAGTTCCTTACATCAAATTTCTTACAACTTTCCCTTTTAGCAGGATGTGATAAAATGCTCCTCCCAACGTTTTAACATCTCATCGTTGCTGGGAAGTGTTCCTGGGTGTCGAGTTGCGATGTACAGCGTGGGATCCATCCCTGGCAGTGTCTCCCAAGCTGAGAAGGAGTACACTATTTCTATCAGGAAGCCTAGGTAAGACCAAACCAATACCAGGATACACCACCGTCTTGGAATCAAATTAGTCGCATGGTGGCAAATCTCCCTCTGATCCACAAGGGGTGCAACTGCTTGTGGTGGTGACGACCTGGGGCAGATTTTGGCCAGACTGACCTCGGGATTCCGAGAAACCACAGTAGCTAAAGCTGCAAGACTCCAAAAACCGAAATTTTGCTGGGGCCTGCATAACCAGTGAGGACGGGCCATCCGTGTATTTAAGTAAAGATAAAATGTTAAGAACAATGCCGTGAGAACAAAGAAAAGAAAAAGCTTCTGAGCACCAATATTTTGAAGACAGATGAGCAAAAAGGATTTTTAATCACGATAAGAAAAAGAACCATATTTTCTCAACGAGAATATAGAATATCTTCTTTTTATCTCTAATTCGAAGAACTGATAATTGCAATACTAAGAGACACACGCTGTTGAATGACTTCGAGAACCAATGCCTAAACACAGACTTGTTCCACACTTCTAAGCCTGTTGATTTAAGTATTTACGACCAATTTTTAGAAAACCACAGTTATACTCCTCTATCGGAAAGTAGTAAACGACTGAAGTTCAGCAAAAAATGACTTACGGTGAGCACAGGGGAGGTGAGCAACACATGCATTGATTGAGCGACGTCGGCCGCATGAATGTGGTTGTGGTAAGGATTGGCCCGATAGTGGTGTTCGAGATTGAGAAGGTATGTAACGAATACGGACGACGGAATCTCGAACGCCTTAATGAAAACACGAACGTACATGACATGAAAAACGCATCTACACACTGAATTCCGCGTCAGACAACGATTTGATGTTTTCACCTCTAACCTTTCGAGCATTTGAGTGCTTCTATATCTCGAGGATAGTGAAAGCAAGAAGAAAACTGGAATCAATTGACGGAAAACATTTACTGCCCTCTAAGGACGTTTAAACGCGACTTGGTTGGTTGCACCACAGCTCAATAATTTTAAGAGCACATATCAGATAACGGAGTGAAAAGGATTGGTAAAACGAACAAAACGTGTCTCTGGAATTTTGATGAATAAGGACGGATAACGACAAGAAGAACGTCCTAAACATTTTGAAATTCTAGCCAATAAAACTGTTAAGTATGAAAAGGAAGACTCTCGCATTTCAATACTAAACTCTCCCAAGATTCTGTTTTGTGTTTAAAAAACCTGTGCTTAGGGGGTTTAATCCAAACTTTTTTCTTAACTTCCGTTCATTGTTAAATAAGTTCAACAACTTCACGGAGTACGCCCCGATGAGCTTCTCCCTTGACCTTTTTGCCTTGGAAATCCTGCCTAATTCCTTTTGCTGCGACTCAACTTAGTATCACTGTCCCATATTAGAACTGCTCAGTATATTTCATCCAAAACGACGAACGACAGACGACAACTGCACTTGAGACGAGAGAAGACGAAAGAGTACGATGAGCGTACCTTAATTAGACCTCGTTCCCGGAACAAAGCATACGTGATTGCGGTTAGGGCGTGGTTCCTCGAGAGTTCGTCGATCTTAAACACGTCTGGTCCCCATTCGTTCAGCTAGAAATCGCAACATTTCTTACAAATAGTGAATTTTTCTATAAAAAATTTTGGCTCAGTCCTAGATATCTAAAAAAAATTCGTTGTTCGTAACAAATCTGAGCGCAGACTTGCTCAAAAAACTTTATTTTTCCCACAGTCCATAAAATCTGATAACACTGTGACAAAGCTGCCGTAATAAATATAAAAGCAAATTCTCTCAGTAGAACTCGCTATGGGCAAAGATAAGTGCAGAAATTAGTCCGAATCAAATAACCGGAAGCAAAAATATGACCGAACAATAAAAGTGCAAGTTTTCTCAAGAATCTGGCATGTGTAGGATCTAGTGTGAATGTGATTACAGGCTTGCTGGGTTCCGAAAGACAAGTGTCCGTCTATTTGTGCGAAGAAGGATAACTTGCTTCAGAAGATAATTTCAGGAACAGACAACACTGACGCATACCTAACTGGTCACATAAATAGATACAGAAGCACACGTTGGATGAAGGAGGCGGGGTCGTATCCATCTATTTCAATGAGCTTTCTTTCTGATTGTTTATATGTACTTTTCGTATTCAATCAACAACTTATCCGATAAAGATATTGGGCTACGCATGCTCTATGAACAGCTACTTTATACAATTAGTAATTTACAAAAAAAATTTACTCACGAATGTGCGCCCCGCCTTGAGAATTTTGCTAGTGAGGAGCCTAATTAGATATCTCCTACAAAGGACACTACAGCCAGTGAGATGGATGCTTAGCTATTCGAACGAAGGCCCACAGAGTGCGCACTCTTCACTATGCTCTCCTACATTGAATCTTTGAGAACATTAGAGGCTCACAATTCTGAAATTACTTAACTCATGTTGCGAAGCCAACTACTGAAGCGAGTAGGGAAAGGGATACAGATCGGGAGGCACGCACTGAGTTCAGTACTTACTGAGCGTAGTAGAAAATAGCCTTGTATGTGTTGTGTACGAAAGGAGACAGAAAAAAAGAAAGCGGTACAAAAGACTTTAGTAAAACACAAACAGGACTTTGATGAGTAAAACACGATGTGTAACAAACACGAGACACTTTTCCATTCGCACTCTCGTTACTGAATTAGGTGCAGTGTATGTTAGAACGCCCTCTCAAAAAAAAGCCTGAAATCTGTCCAGATGAGGACTCCCGTGGGAACTTTACTCGAAATTTTTAAGAAAGTACCGAGTTATATCATTTATGAAGAATAATTTTTCAGTATTTAATTCATTATTTACTGCCTACTAGAGCTTTTCACGGTAGGGTATTCTGCGAAATGCAATCACAATGAGGCTGAAACCTTTGCAAAACTCCGGACCGTAGGTATCTATGGTGAGGAACGAACACGTGATTACTCTTTCCGGGGGCTAACGCGTTAACCAGCACACCATGCGGGTCCTTCATTTCGCCTTTCTCTTGGCTACTTTTAGTTCTTAGATCATGGTTGACAGCAACAAAGGCCAAAGACTTTGTAAAACGAACAAACTCGCGTTGATTTGAAAATGAAGCAAACTTTCGAGGAATGTAATGGCTCGTTGCCTTTTTTCTAAGCACAACAGCCGGGTAAGATAGCTACTTTTTTTTCTTTTCTTTTAGTCATTCTCTCAAGTCATTTGTCTCTCAAGGTGTTTTCCGGTACGGGTGACATTTCGGTGACAGATTTCGAACTTCGTAGGGATGTGTACGGATTTTTGCGATCACTCCCTCAACGTTTTAGAAGAAGGGATTGTTCAGCAAAGACACATACACGCACACACACCCACATCCATACGGCTAGCGCGTAATTCGCGAAAAGCAAATCAATATGTTGACGCTGAGAAGATGTCCTTCTTTCATATGCTCTGCTGTTATGCCTTAATGTTCGGATTAGTATGTAGCTCGGATAAAAGCACTGGCTGTAGCGGGCACCTGTCCATCATCGTACAGACAAGCCAGTGATAACAATCATCAATGGCTTTATTGAACTCAGCCAGTGCAGCAACGGATCAGGTGCGACCTTTGTTGCGTTTCGTGCCGACAACAGTGATTGTTAAATTAGTCAGATAGCAGAGTTTTCAAGGACTAGACAACCTCAAACGATGAGCCACTTCTACCAAACGTTTCAGATTACTATGGCAATAGTAACTGCTGCAAAAGAAAAAACTGCTTAGAAGGGAAGTTGTGGATAAAAGGCCATGCCGAATCGCCGCGTCGATTTTTTCAGTTTCTTAAATCTCTCTCTTGTTGGGTTATAATAAAAATAGAGATAGAAATTCTTCTATGAAATGAGGCTGAGAAGAAGTGCTACAATTCTCCCAAGTTATTAAAGTTTTTCAGGAGTGGGTTTAACGCCGTCGTTGCTTAAAAACCATCAAATAGGGAAAACGTTCGAAAAAAAAGACAAACATCTTGCCAATTGAGGCGGCTTCGCCGCGCAAATTCTACAGCTTAAGAAAAGAAAGAAGCTTCCTTCCGAGAGGAAAGCTATGCTAGGCTTCTCAACGCTAACTGGATGGTTATTCGATTTTCTCTTTAAACCGCATTATCTGCAAAGCCAGTTTTTCTTCTCAAATTGTTTTTTTCCCTTCGTTATAACAGCAGACTTTGTGATGAACAAAACAGTGAACACCCGTAGGCTTGTTACTAGTCTTCTATTCCAGAAGAAAACTGTACTCAGCATTTTATTCCTATTGCTGTTTCTCAGATCAATTCCGATGCGAACCTAATGATGAAAACTAAGGTTTATGTAAAGAGCATTTCATTCTTTTCCTCACCAGCGTCTCTTAAATCAGCAACTCAGCCGTAATCTTTTCCTGAAACAAGCTCACGACCGACAATGTCGGGGTTCTTATGTTAATTTCGTGCACTTGTCCTACTATGCAATCGTTATGAATCCATTGTTGTAAAAATGTCGATGCAATTCTGATGTAGAAAAGAACGCTGCCCTTTATTGGACGTATTCAATAGCTTTAAAAATGTACATGTTGTCATTCATATTCAGGATGAGCCAGTTCTCTCAAGAAATTTTCTCTGTTATGCCATGTTTAAGACTAGAGTCGATTATTTCACACACACCTGCTGCATGTACACCGACACTTCCTTGGCACAAGGCACGCCGTATTCGGGAAGATGACCCTCGTGTGAGGGCGCACGCAGCTTCTTCACGCCAGAGATGCGGTTCATCGCTGCCGTCTGCGCCTTCTTCAGGAGACCCATCGACAGCTGCGACGATGACGTCGACGGACCCTGCAAGCAACACGTGAATCTCCTAGTGGGATCGCGCGCAACATCAATAATTTCTTTTCTCATGGTCGACATCATCCCCTCCCATTGTCATATTCTTCACGCACAAATCGGCGACATTTTCTAAGTGGTTTTCTTACGAACAGCAGGAGCAGCTTATGAGAAAGCGCATTTCTTATCCAGAATTGCTGAAAGATACACTATCTTGAGCGAGTGCTCTTGCACTCCTCTTCTTAACAAGCAAAGCATCTGATACGAGTTGGAACTACGGCACAGTGATTAAGGGGAAATATTGGTATCTTATGGGAAAGAGAGAAAACAACCTTTGCTCAATCATAAAAAGCCACTAACCATTATAGACGGCTGGTCGCAAAATGCTCAATTATGATAACGCTACACAAAGATTTAAAATCGCAGAAGTAAAGAAACGGCGACTTGAAAATATGGGTTAGCACTCAACTTGTAACGAACAAAAAAAGAGGGGCAGAGTAGGTGGGGGTGTGGAACTCCAATAGAAACCAGCATGTACGGTTTCGGAATCCACTCCTTTTTTATAGTGGCTACGAACAACGAACATAGAGGAACAGAACTTAGTTCTTGAAATGATGAATAAGAGATCTGTTGCGAATTCAGGCTTAGTTTCGTTTTTGTTGACAGCAACGAAAAGGTGACAGAAATTGAATTCTTCTAAGAAAGGAGAAGGGACAGAGATGACATGGAAATGGGAGGCATACTTCCTCAACCATCCTTCAAACACAGAAAACACATAGTAATTCTCTAATAGCATCTTGAATGAAGGTACATCCACCTTTTTTTCAATTCAAAAATTGTTCACTTTTTTGATGATACGATTACGACAATGGAGAATGCGAAGACGCTCCACATAAAAGACCAGTAAATGAGAGAAATACATAAGAAGACAAAAAAAAGAAAAGACAGAGTACCTCTCCAGGCATTTCGACTTCTACGGATGGATCGTCTTCGTCCTTGTCCATGTAGGTGGTTATTAAAAATTTCGAAACCTGAGTGCCGGACTTGGAGGACTCAGCAAAGTGACTGAGCTCTTTGTTCAGCATCTTACGGAACTGAAACATAATTCAAAATAAAATCAAAGCACTGTCACATTTACGTAAAACTGCATTATACTACAAGGAAAAAGGATTTTTGTTTAACATAAAATCGAGTCTTTCGCCCGTGTCTACATTCCTTAGGAATCAAAGAGCCGAATAGAGAGATCAGTCGGGAATCGCTTCTTTATCCAGAACTTCGAGGTTGATAATGTGATCACAAAAAGTGATTAAAAATTTACGCATACGTAATTCCAGGGAAAAGTGTTTGGTGGCATTGCTGAAATATCCCGTGACGGTTTCCCACCGAATTCTTTTTTCTTACAGTGCAAAAATACGAAGAAATTCGAGTAGCAAAAAATAGGCTCCCATTAGAAACTGAACAAGACGAGTTCACAGCAATGATTTTGCTTTGACACTTTGAGAACAGTCTTCCTCTGGTGCCAACGATTGCAGAAAAAAAGGTGAAAATATAGTGACCACAAGCTGTGTTGAAAGAAACCACGAAATTATAATGGAAGCTTGAAAATCCACTGGGAATAATTAAAACAAGCCAATGATTTGAATAACCGAAGCGAAAGGGATTTTACGCTAATGACGCCCAGGAAATTATGGACCCAAGAAATGGGAATCAGTTTGAGTCTCGGAACACAGAGGCTTGTCGCGATGCAATCAATGTGTCGTCTTCATGGATTACGTTCACGATCCGCCACGCTCATCGGAAATTGCAATTATGGGTGCGCATTGCATATGCTAGCACGTTTATTAGTTTGTAAAGGTACACACACACATACAATACATACACACCTGCATACACACACACATACACATACACACACACTCAGACACACATACACACATATACACACGCCACAAACTCACATACACGCACAGGCGCGACCAATGTGACATCATTTACGTGGCCTGGAACATCTGCTGGTACTGACTCCGGACGAGCTTAGCCAGTAACGAAGTCGGCAATTCTATCTATCATTCTCTCTTCCTCTCTCATCAGCACGATAATTGTTAGCGCCACCATAGGGAGCATTTCCGGAAATCAAAATCAGGGTAATTGGGGAACTGAATGCCATTTTAAGGAACTTTATTGCGTATTAAATGTTAGTGGCCGCGATGATTTACAGTTAAGTATATCCAAAAAGAAACTTAGTCTGCGCCTACTCCAACCGGAATTTCTACATCACGTGAATTCATGAAAGTAACCGATAATGTGGGAACACATTGTATAATGTGATAGCCATTTTTTATGGATTTGTCGAGAAAACAAAGTGAGGAAGTGCTCCATAATGACTGGATATCCGCCTTCACGGGCACTTCATCAAGGTTTTCGCAGACGAATGTCATCCTGCTCAACGTCTTAGTCGAAAAATGGAAAAAAAAGGACGAGCTTTCTATTCACCATTACCGTTGATAAAATCGTACAGAAAACAATGCTTCGTTCGCTCTAAATCGCTAAAAAATGTTCTCAATTCCAGCACGTCGACAATTATAAAATGGATTCATTGTTATGGAAAAGTTAGTAACATAATTAGATTTTCTAGCAAGCATTTACAAAAACCTTGTGAATGCTGTTACTGTGACAAGACTTCGACGAATTAAAATAAGACCTTACATGAATTTATCGCGCAGAGTTAAGCGCTATTTCACGCTGAAGCGCTACAAGCACTTCTTGGTAGAACAACGTTCGCTTTAGCAATCAGTGTAAAACACAGTGGTGAGAATGCACAGCATGCCACCATTGAACTCCTCGTTACGAAAACCCTCACGAATTCTTTGGGGCCAAAATAAGGCAGATGAATGCTAGGTGTAAAAGTGAGCGGAAAAGAATAGAAGCAACTGCATTCTTCGCTTACTAAAGGCGGGAAACTACCTAACATTCCTGAAATCCAGCAATGCCTTTCCGTTTTGGAATTCGCAATTTGCAGCCAATCTACCTCCACATAGAGACATTTAAGCTCCTCCAGATTAAACATGTTCACATAAATTCTTGAGAAATATTCATTCCAACACGAAAAAGGGGACGAGGTTTCAATCCTTGTGGAAAAATTTCAGTTTTGGTGATATTCGGGTGTTTATGCGGCCCAAATCATTCCATTAGTAAAGGTGCATGAGCGATTCACTCGATTGAAGACTAATTCGTACTTTCGAATCTCGACAGCTGGTTGTCGGCACTGGACAACATTTCACAAAACATGCATTTCTTTTGTTAGTAATCCAGATTGCCGAAACAAAACTTGCGAAAGAAAGTAATGCAGTAGGAGAGGAAGCCTAGAGTGACTAACCTTACTGGAAGCCATTTCCGAAACTGAACGATGCGTTTGAATTGTTTCCAACTGATCGAGGCACCAATCGAGTTCCTCTGAAACTGTTTTATTGAATGCAGTCGATTATCTGAAATCTAGCATCATGTCCCATTGCACTGCGTGCCCTCACCAAGTGTTTCATGGGCACAAGCAACGACGTTTTCCGGCAAAGGTGTGCTATGCAACGGTGGACGTTTTGCCATTCGGTTGGCGTGGCGACCATCATCAGAACTCTTGAACATTAACTTTTTTCTCACGAAAGAAGCCAAAAATTTCGAACAAGTCTGTTATCTGCCACAACGAATTGGCTTTTTTTTCACGTTGACGTATAATTGAGCCTATGACGCGGTTCACCACAAGAATATAAGCATGAATCATTGGTAATAATAAGATGTACCTGAATATTGGCGATAGATATGAGGTTAGCGCGGACATTACGAAGACTGGCTAGGAGCTGAGCGAACGGGGTTACGATCAGGTCGTCGCCATGTCTAAATGTAAAGCTTTAAATATCTGAATCGCGCTATTTACAACGTGAAGAGAAGCTAAACACAACAATACTTTCAATTTCGTATCAATCATCTTTCAACATGAATGTCCGAACAGTCCACCTTTCAAAAATCAACTGTTGAAAACAAGCTAAAAACCTTCTATATTTCATACTGAAGTCCCAAAAAACCTCCAATACGGTTAATCAGCATGTAAATAGGACATCACACTAATCAAATTCGACTAGAATTAATTGCATGAGGACGAAAGTCGTGTTGTGTAGCTTCTCCCCACACCGGACAACATTCTCGCTCATATCCCGTTCCTTTGTCATTACACAACCTATGTAATAAGGCGTACGTTCATCTACCATTAGAGTGGATTAACGTTAACATTACCGAAATCCAACATGTCCAAGCTTTCGTCGAAGCATCTAGACGAGATGATGTCAAGTAGTACTTGAACAAGCTCTCGATAGCGAAAGCGTTAACGGGTTCTGAGAGAAAACAAGCAGCGAAAATGTAATGGAGAGCTGCAAACCCAGTAGGTGTTAGCGGCAGTCGTAGCTGCACTGCGCCTCAAAAGGCCCGCCTTTCATTCAGGTACTCCGACACCAGGCCCGCCTCCATCGCACACCCTACAATCCAAGCTGCTCCGGCATCCCGACAAACAGCTTCGGACCACCAATCTGTTATCAAATGATTTGCACAACACCGAGAAGAACAAAACAAGAAACTTCAGTAAATAGTGAAACAAAGCAGAATTTAACCAAACATAGTCATTTAAAGTAGTCACGGTTTGACATGCCAGTGTTATTGGACTGTTGGTCGATATTTGGACTTGCCTTTGCAAGAAAACATTCCTCTGAGACAATTTGAACACATTCTTTTAGAGCTTTGGGGATGAAGCCTGTTCTTCGACAAGTTAGGCTAGTCTTTCAAGAACTAGAGTATTTCATAAGTTCGGAACACAGATTTACGAGAAAGACCTTGCTCTATCACATTAATAACATGTTCAAATGTTATATAATATACTCCCGACTTTGGATAAGCTTAGAGTTTAAACATTAGAGAAACCTCCCAACGGCTTACCGCCTCATCGTGGCTGGGAGGTGTTCCTGGGTGTCGGACTGAGATGTACAGCGGGGGATTCATCCCCTGGCAGGGTCTCCCAAGCTAAGGAGGAGTCCGACGTTTCCATCAGGAAACATAGCTAAGAGTAAACCAATACCAGGATCCACCACCGTCCTGGTGTCAAAGTCGCATGGTGGTAAATCTCCATTTGATCCACAAGGACTGCTATCGCCCATGGTGGTGAACACCTGGAGCAGACTTTGGCCAGGCTGACCTCGGGACTCCAGGTAATCATAATGGCTTAACCAGCAAATCTCCGAAAAATGGAGATTATGCTGGGGCCCGCACAACCAGTGAGGACGGGTCACTTAAGTATCAAGTAAGTAAGAAACTGGTAACAAAATTTCGATTTTTTAAGACTTCCAAGAAAGAGCGGCAGTTGCCAACATGAACAACACATTGGTGAACATCATCGCGTTAAGCTGGACCAAATGTTGCTTTTTCATTTGCCTTCGTGGTTGAAATATGAGCTATGAGGCCCCAGAAACTTCAGGAGATCAGAATTTCAACTTGATAGGATATAATCACTTGCCTCTTGTATGCGAACGTGTAGACTTTCACGGTCTTCATTGCAAAACTTATCATGAGATGAGCTATGTTGATTTAAAAACGAAAGCGGTTATTATTTTCGCATCGCAGAACTTCTATAGAAATGACGACGTCGCGTAAGTATTCAGAAGCATATAAACACCCAATTAAAAGAACTAATTTGGCTTGTGGCATCGTGCTCTATCACTTAATCCGTTAATTGCAGCAGCTGCCACCATCCGGGAACAATCTTAGTTGTTAGGAAGCGGGCCTCAAATCCAATGGAGGCTCCTCAAAACGTCTGTGTTGGGATTAAAGAGAAAAACACGCATAAGCGAATGTTCAATATGGAGAGAAAACGGGTTTAACAGGCTCGCACTGCAGCTCAAATCATATGCAAGTTCAACCACTTCCATAGTGAACGATTACAAGCGACCAAAATGAACACATAACGAATATATATGACTGTTAGAAATTGACAAATATGCAACAGTGAGGCGACAACATTCTACCAAGCGACTAAATCATTTGAGAATAGCTGGATAATTTGACAACTATGACAGCTTGGATGACATCCGTTGAGGGACAATGCACAGAACTCCTACACCACTACCGGCTGCGCAGTAGGAAAGATATAAATTAAAGCGGGAAGTTGCAAAAAATATCCGGTGAATATAAAATGGCGTAAACCGAATGACGTGTTTAACGGAGATGGAATACAACTCTTATTCAGCTAACCAGTGGAGCACCGCTCGATCTCATGCGATCAGGAAGACCCATATCGGGGGAATGAAAGGCTAGGCTGCGAGCAGTCGACTCGGATCAATCCGGCTCTGAAGAATATGAATACGTCGAAACGTTAGCCGAATAAAAGTTGTGTAACAACCACAAATAATCTCATGAATAGAACAAAAGTTATTGATTATTCATACCATTTAAGGAGGTCTAGTCCATCCTGTTAGATTACCACTTGTTTTACGGTCAAGTTTATGAATGCGGCATAATCGACGCCATGGCCCAAATCGAGCGCGTTCTACGGTGGAAACAATGGTTTGGCCAAATGGGCAACGACAGCCGCTCGACTTTAGAGGCTAAAGGGATTATCGCTATGTTAAAGACGATGGGCATTGCAGTGTCGTATCATTGCAGATGAATTACCACAAAGCACCAGTAGTTGTGAAGCATCTGGAAGATGTTTTGATTGCTTTCTGCTGCTCAATCGACAACTGTCAGAGATTAGACATTGTGTAAGAATTGTGTGATGAAGGATTCCTTTATCGGGACATATTTTCAGGCTAAAGTGCTCAGAATGTAAGAAATGCACAGCAATCGATCACACTTACTTGGGAGTTTTTGAGAAGAATGACATGCGCTTGGTGCGGCTATCCGCACACCACAAGCAAACAAACGCACTAAAATTCTCATATGTCACCGCCCGCTTCGCTAGAGATGCAGAGGGGTTGGCGATGGGGGTAGGCGACGGAGTGGGTTGGCATGGAACACCTGACCCATCCAGAGCTGGTAGGAGATCAGCTCGGAATGGGTCAGCTATTCGAGGTTCAACAGGTTGTAGTTTCATATTTTACTAAGACAATATCACAGCTCTAACCAATGAAACATTTATGTAAAGTCACGAGGAAAACTTAGAATAGTGAAGCATTAAAAATAAGAATTAGCAAAGAACAGATGTGTTAACGTGGATACACCACCTCAATAAGAATCCTGTACGAAACTCTTATGAATAACTCCGAGGACAGAATTTCCATAAACCTTCGCAATGATTAGTGCTTTTATGTTTCCTTGATAAGCAGACACAAGCTTGTTAAGACAATAATTATTCGACGCTTCCTAAGGTTACAGTGAATTTCGTCACTCCATTCGTGAAAGGGTCTCCCTTATGAGTGCTTTATATAAACCTTTATTTAAACGGTCAACTTAATTTTATTAAAAACTAATGACAGCCACTCAGTGGTGTCATTCGGTACTACTCTGTAGTTTTCTGACAATAACAACCAAGTTAGTACAAGTAGAATTCCATCAGTGTTAATAAAAATCGGTGAATGTGCAACGATTCATGCATTGCTTTGTCACGTCAAACTCTACGCTACATCTTTAGAAGTTACGTGAGGCGTAAACTACATCGACTTACGCAAGGTACGGAAGACACTGCTTCACAGCGAGTACTCGTGAAGGCTCAGTTCACAGTAGCGAAGGTGAAGCTCATAAAGAATACAGCGATTGGAAGAAGGACCATGAAAGCGAGTACGACAGCATGTTTAAAGGAGATTATGGGAATGGATCTGCAGTCAAGGTCAGTATGCCCGTTTTAAACGAACGCTCTCTGCAATCCACGTCTATCAATCGCCACTTCCGCCGCCATTACGGGCTGCGTGACGGTGCGGCTCTCTTCCCATTAATGTTTACGACAGCAAAACATCGAATTTGAGTGACTTGAGAAGTTACTGTAGAAGATGACACCGCCACCAGTGCTGAAGAACACCTACAAGTGATCTATGCCAAAACGCCTTTCTGTGCAGGAAAAGATACTCACGTTCTGTCAAGAACGCGTTATGTACGATTACATAAAGCACTCAATCAAATACAGCATTCCGCCTCAATAAACATAGATTTATAACGACTTGGAAAGGACCATCGGTTGTAGTTAGAAGTTTGAAGGTCAGCTGATGAGCGGAAAAAAAACTGCCAGGCCGAATAAGTGTTCAAACGTCGCTAATGCTTCTTATCCTTCCAACTAAGTGAAGATATTCAGATTACTAACGGATGCGATAATTCTTAACAATGTAGCGCATCCTCCATAAATGGAATGGAATGCGATGTTCTTTGAAAACAGGACACACCCTTGAAGTTCATGCTATTGAAAATGAGCGAACCAAAAGCGGAATGACTTCTAGGTAATCCAAGAAGTGGAATGGTCTCACCTTCCGTTATAGTAAAAAAAAATTCATTGATAAAGCACACGTAGTTGAAAAGACGAATACAATAACATTTGCTCCCTCCTAGATTACTCATTCTATCATGAACACAGCGCCCGTGTAGCACAATAGAGATGCGCTGTAACGTACATTAAATCGGCCGCTGGTTCGTTTCTGCGCATCGGGCACACTAAGCCCTCTATCCCTCTGGGGACGGCAAATCTGTTCCAGATTTATCTGGGAAGGTAGTAGTACAGACTTTACAGACTTAATACATCGATAGGGCACCGCAAGTTATTGTATAAGTCAGATATGTATTCTATCAGCTCTACAATGCTTAGACATTCCAATGCACGGGACTCCATCAGGGTTGGTCAACGTCAAACACTTTAATCTTCAACCTTCTATTGTAGACATTCCTTTTCAGTTTAGAAATTTTGCACCTAAGCAGGTGATTTGATATCGAAGACGAGAATTACCCACCAAGATCAACCATAGTTGACGCAATTCAAACTCCCACTAAAACCTCACCACCGAAACACCCATTTTGAAAGAAATAAAGTCTGACAATGTAATGATGCATTTGAAACCATCGAAAAAGTTGAGAAAAGGAAGGTTCTCTGTGCTTTTCTTTGTTCTTATAAGGATTTTTGTTAGATGTCTCGTTTCCAAAGCATAAAGAACAGGCTATAAAGCGTCTGACGCCAATTTATTAGTTAGGGCTACGCCACGCATCCGACTTCATTATGATATATGTGACTGAAAGCACTTTCGCCTGTACGATGAGTTTCGACGGCTTATAGATATATTAAGTCAGCGTTTTTCATCCCTCCAAGCAA